CATAGCCTCATGCCGGATCCCTAGTAGGAACGCTTGTTTGCATCACGTGCATATGAATTTGGGGACTCAACATAGGGGTTGCGTTCGTCTAGGACAGGTGCACCCGAAATCAAAAGACCATCCTGATGCATTTTACTTGCTACTTGTACAATTATTTGACTCGGATTAAATGCTACCAGCTTTTAGAGTAGGGGAAAAATTGAGAAAAACCAGATTGAGGTGAGAGAGAGGAAATTATCCGCATGTGAAAAACCTTGGTATCCAAAATACCTCAAAACTCTGCAAAAATTTTCAAAAAAAGAAGGAAAGAAAAAAAAGATGCTATTTCAAATGTTAATGTTTTCTGTTGCGTCAAAATTGACTAAACTACGCAAGTTTGGTTCTCACCGGATGTGGGATACGTAGGCAACCCTCATCGGGTCCAACTCCATTTTTGCTAAAAATAACCGTCTGAATACACAATCTTCGATATATGAAGTGTCGTTATTTTGTCATAAATAAATTAGGTAGTGCCGTTCTTGTCCAAAATAGCCAAAATGCCCCAAAAGGCGCCGGAAGGCTGTTTTTGCCAGAATAGCCACCTAAGGTCCTCTTTCAAATGTTTTGATTAATTAGAAGGCACAACCCTAAAATCTTCTTTCATGAGGTGCTGAAGGGCTCTATTCGCAAAAAAATGTTTTGTTTTAAAATTGCAACTTTCAAAATTGGTATTTTTTCTCTTGAGTCAAAAAATAAAATCATGATCTTTTAACCGATCACTAATTAAATGTGCAGGATGAGCACGATTGAAAATGAACCTTTCACAGTCCTTGAGGAAATCCCGTTAGAACTCCACATGTGGTGGAATGATTTAGGAGAAGTCAGCAGAGATACTGTGGTAAAAGCTTTGGGCGGTCTTGTTGGTCTTCTGAAGATTAAGCCTAGGACGGATATAATTGAGGCTTTGATACCCTTCTGGGACCCATCGCATAATGTATTCCATTTTTTTCGATTTTGAGATGACCCCTACGCTTGAGGAAATGGCGGGTTATGCTGGTTTTAGTGGGAATCTCAGTAATCAATACCCAGTGGCACCTAGAACACTGACTCCTCATAAGTTTCTGGACCTTCTAAGCATCAACCGGGAAGTTCAAGACGGAAATTGGCTAAGGGATTCTGCACATTCTACTTTTATAGTGGCATTCCTGGGTGTTTTGATTTGCTCAAGAAAGGATGGAAACATAGAATTGGGGCTTGTGGGAATAGCCGACTTCATGACTAAAAAGGCAAATGGCACCATTCTACCGATGCTCTTGGCGGAGATTTACCGAGCCCTAACTGTTTTCTGAGAAGGAGGAAAGTTTTTTAAGGGATGCAATATGCTTCTACAACTCTGGATGGAGGAACACCTATGCCACCGTCTGAGGTACATGAACCTCGGTATGACCGGTCTTAAATGCATTGAAAAACATGAACAACGGGTGGAGGGCTATGAGTTTCCGGATGGTACGGAAGCATGGTTTGCACATTTGAGCTCGTTGACTGAAGACAAGATTGAATGGACATTCGGGTGGCTCTCGGTCAGTGAAATCATTTATATGTCGACCGAAGTATGTTTTCTTCTATTGATGGGTCTCCGAAGCATTCAGCCTTATGCTCCGCACAGAGTTCTGCGCCAGCTAGGCAGGTACCAAACTATTCCGCATGATGAGGATTTGAGTCGGCAAGTCATCGAACTAGGAACAAAAGCTGTTTTCCCAGAAGAAAAGGTGCGTCGAATTTGGCATCAATGTAGGTTCTTAGAGCCAAAGACTCAGGTACGGGATCTGTCCAAAGGCGAGTTAGAGCCTAGTTACACAACTTGGTACGGTAAAAGGTCTCAAGTCCATCAGGAGCCTGAACGGCCCGCCAAAAGGCCCCATGTCCAACAATTCACTGATGGGGTACATGAGCAATGGGATTGGTTGGCAAAAGAGACAAGCTACAGAGCCACAATAAGCAAATTGGAGGGGCAAATCCGAGATCTTAAATTTGACAAAAGTGTACAGGCCACTGCTGACGAAGGGGAGAAGAAGAAATTGGCCCAAGAAAACAAGGCCCTTCGAGCCTAGATCCAAAAAATGAAGATAGCTAATGAGAATCAGGAAAGGAGTCAAAAGGATGAAAGACTCATAAATGGCCATAGGTAGAAAATAGCTGAATGCGAGGATGATTTGGAGAAATCCGAGGGTAATCTGGCAAGAGTTCGAGCACAGTTAGTGAAGAACGCAGAAGGACGAGCAATTTTTTCCGGCAACTAAAAAGGAAATATGAGGGAGAAGCCACTAACTTGAAGAAAAAACTAACTACCCTCAAAAGCAAAGTGCCAAACAAACGAAGAGCTTCAAAGCAAAAAGAGAACACTGCTATGCACTGATGTCGCAGTTAGAAAAAGACCTTCAGCAGCTTCAAGAGCAAAATCATACAGCTGAACAAGTTTTGGGGGCCAGAACTCAGCAGATTGGCGGTTGCTTCAAGAGAAGGGTATTATCAGAGAAAGGGTTAGGAGCATTGCAGACTACATTGGGATGAAATGCAACGAGTGTGAGGACATGAACAGGTCCATGTTCTTCGCCTCCACTATGATTTTTGTCTAACAGATCATGGATGACCTATTTCGCCTTCAAGAAGATATGGCGCATAGGCCCGCGGCGAGACCGATTGATGTCCAGCGGGCCCTAGGAGTAATTGGGGCACTTATGTATTCATGATTTTTATTCGAGTCTGTATTTTCATTTTCTTTGGAGTTTGTTAGTCCATTTTCGAGTTTGTATTTTCATTTTTCTGTTGGAGTCTGTTAGTCCACCTTTTCGAGTCTGTTAGTTTTTATGTTTATAATCTGTAGTAGAAGTTGTTGTAATCAGGATGTTTTGCTTTTATTTTATGAAAAATTAAAAACCCAAAAAATGTATCTTTCTTTTATTTTACACTTATCTCCCAGAATTACGCTTGGTCTGATTCATGCGGTGTCATGATACGTAGGCAATCCCCATAGGATTCAATCATAACCGTGAAAATGGAAAAAAAAAGAAATAAAGAGAGAAAACAAGAAAAACTGTAGAGAGAAACAATGGCAAAACAAGAAAGGAAAAATGAGAGAATAAAAGAAAAAAATAAGAACCAAGCAAAGAAAAGCAGGAATGAGAAAAAAAAGAGAGAGAGAGAGAGAGAGAGAACTTGCAAAATGGAAATTAGTGAAAAGCCGGGATGAGTCAAGTAGCCGTTCAAATGCATAATAGAAATGGTTAACTTCTTAGGTGCATTGCATTCCCCAAAGTGCGGTTGCCTATCTGTTAAGCTCTGATCGCTAACGAGTTTGCTTGTTGTCATCAAGTCCAGGCAGGTGGTTAGTTTGTTCGGCATTCTGGCAACTCACTCGTACAACACCAGGTCCAAAGACAAGTTGATCATGACTGGCCAAGAATTGGATGCAAGTGTTATTGATCCGTCCAGGGAGGGGGAAGAGTCTGATGCTAATCTGAAAGAGGAGTTGCATAATTAAAACACCAAATGGCAGAGATGTACTAGGCGTGTATGAAAGGGCATCCACCACCGTCATACCTCACCAACCCTGCTTTCGTCTCGCCACTGGCTCAATCCCAAGAACCTCCCACTGCTGATTCATCTCCAGGCCTCAAGGCACCACTTCCCAAACCACACAAGCACCACCAGCTAAACCAATCCCATACCCCCCTCCATCAGCCACCCCTATTTTCGTGGCACCACCGCTAGCTACACTTCATCGATCCTCCAGTGAGCCTTTGTTCCAGACCCAAGATAACCAATACTATCCCCCGGAGCCTACTTTCAAGGCCCCAGATCATTACTCCTACACTCCTCGTTTTGACCTCCCAGTTGAGACTGAGAAACCACCTAAAAACCCAGAGTAAGAGGAGATGTTCAGGAAGGTAAAAAGCTTGGAACAGTCGTTTAGAAGCATGCAGGGATTGGGAGGCCAGGTGAGCGTGGCCTACAAAGATTTGTGTCTATTTCCTGATGTTCAGTTGCCTGTGGGCTTCAAGATGCCTAAATTCGACCTATATGACGGGCATGAAGACCTAGTGGCCCACCTAAGGGGATTCTGTAGCAAGATGAGAGGGGCAGGCGGAAGAGATGAGCTGTTAATGGCATACTTTAGCCAGAGTTTGAGTAGCGCCGCGCTGGAGTGGTACACACGTCAAGATCATAACATATGGTATACCAGGGATGATTTGGCCCAAGCTTTCGCTCGTCATTTCCAGTACAACATCGAGATTGTTTTGGATCGATTGTCTCTAACTAAGATTGAGAAGAAGCCCAGTGAAAGTTTTAGAGAATACGGTTTTCGCTGGAGAGAACAAGCAGCAAGGGTTAACCCTCAAATGGAGGAGAACAAAATGGTGGAATACTTTCTGCAAGCTTTGGAGCCCACTTACTTTGGCCGTCTGATATCGGCCATAGGCAAGTCGTTCAACGAGGTAGTGAAGATGGGTGGCATGTTGGAAGAATGGCTTAAGTCAAGCAAAATCATGAGCTACTCGGCCATCAAAGCCACTACCCAAGTCATTCAAAATGGTATCGGGAGAGTGATCGAAAAGAAGAAGAAAGAATAGGTGGCAACAGTTGATTCAGGATCATGGTTTGGATCTAGGGGCCCGTCACACCATTATACCCAGCCTCGACCTCATCACCAAACCTACACCCAAACCCCATATAATCCACCCCAGCATTATTACCCATCACCAGACCCTCAGATTTCTATCCACCACACCCAGTCATATACCCAACCTCCTCCCTACTCACAATGGCGAGCACCAGTCCCACGAAACACCTACCCAGCTCCACAAAATTCTTACCCACCCCCACGAGCTTACCGAAACCCTGCTGGTCCAGGTTTCCTACCCAATCCAGCATTCAATAATGAAAGGTTGCAGCGCAAGAAAACTTTCACCCCGTTGGGGGAGTCCTATACCAGTTTGTTCCAAAGATTGAGACAGTTGGATATGTTGAGGCCAATTGAGTCGAAATTGCCAAATCCTCCTCCAAAGAATCTTGATTACTCTTTGAGATGTGAATATTGTTCTGGTACACCGGGGCATGATACGGAGAAGTGCTGGCACCTGAAAAATGCCATCCAGGAGCTCATTGACACAAACTGGATTGAAGTCCAAACTCCGGAGACACCCAACATCAAGCAGAACCCATTGCCAACCCATGAAGAAACAAACATGATCGAGATAGTACACAAGGGGGGTGAGCCCAAGAAGCCCTCACAGTCCGTCATGATGATTCAGTCCAGTGAGGCTAAGCTAGTCAAAAAACCAATGGTTGAAGGATCAGTGAACAAGTTGAGCATGAAAAACGGTGAGCCATCTGTGATAGTCAAGAAAGGATCCCCAAATGATGCTGTAGCAAAGAAAGATAAGTCAAAAGTGGTTGTGCCAGGTTTGGCAAACAAGCCTATCGTGATTGTAGATGGTGCCCGTACGGACTTTCTCATCATCAAGCCCGTAACCCAGTTGCCGGCAGTCAACACCAAGGATATCCCATGGAGCTACAAACGGGTGATAGTGACCTACAGGGGAAAGGAAGTGAAAGAAAAAGTGAATGAGGCCCAAGGACTAACTCGTTTGGGGAGATGCTTTGCCCGGGAAGAGTTAAGAAAAGCCAAAACACCCAGAGATAACCCAGTTCTAGTAAAGAAAGCAGTCACTAAGGAAGAAGCGGAGGAATTTTTGAGAAAAATGAAGGTACAAGATTTCTCCATCATGGAGCAGCTGAGAAAGACGCCCGCTCAGATTTCCATGTTGTCATTGTTGATCTATTCGGATGAGCATCGTCGGGCCCTGATGAAAATCCTGAACGAAGCTCATGTCCCCGACAAAATTTCAGTGAACTATTTGGAAAAGATCGCCAACAAAATATTCGAGGTGAACAAGGTCACTTTCTCTGATGACGAATTGCCTGTGGAAGGTACTGAACACAACAGAGCTCTCTATCTGACGGTAAAATGTGAAGATTCTGTGGTCACCAGGGTGCTAGTTGACAATGGTTCCAGCGCAAGCATTTTCCCTCTCTCTACTCTGAACAAGCTGAAAGTTGATGATGAGTGGATTCACAAGAACAACATACGCGTCCGAGGTTTTGACGGTGGAGGGAAAGACTCGGTTGGTGATATAGTGCTTGAATTGACAATAGGACCGGTGGAATTCACCATGGAGTTCCAGGTACTGGACGTAGCCGTCTCTTACAATTTGCTGCTGGGTAGGCCTTGGATACATGCCGCCAAAGCAGTCCCGCCCACTTTGCACCAGATGGTCAAGTTTGAGTGGGATAGACAGGAGATCGTCGTGCATGGCGAAGAAAATTTGTGTGCTCACAGTGATGCCTCCATCCCCTTTATTGAGGCTGAAGATGACAAAGGGCCTTGGGTCTACCAAGTTTTTGAAACAGTGCCAGTCGAAAAGTTTCCAGAAGGGAAATGTGTTCCAACTCCAAAGATGGCCTCTGCATCCGTCATGGTGGCCTCTAAAATGCTGAAAAACAGCTTTGTGCTAGGTAATGGTCTGGGTGCATCCCTGCAGGGTATCATACAGCCGGTTTCCCTCCCTGAAAATTTTGGTACATTCGGTCTTGGATTCAAACCTATAGCGGCAGATGTAAAAAGGCCTAAAAGGTTGAAACGGAAGGCGTGGGCATTTCCAAAGCCTATCCCACGTCTCTCACGGTCTTTTGTTAAGCCCGGTGCCAGGAAACGCCCAGTGACAACAGTTCCAAGTTCTGTGGTTGACATTGATGAAGAGTTAATTGAAAGGTTCCAAAGGTTGTTTGATAATGTGAACATGGTAGACGTTGGAGAAGGTTCTAGCAAAGCAGACGTGCAATTCGTCGGGCCGAATTTAAAGCTTATCAATTGGAAGGCTACTCCTCTCCCTACCCGTAAGGAGTCTTGGTAGTTTGTTTTTTTTCCTTTCTATCTGGGTCATTTTAGGGTTGTGACCAAGACTTTTATTTTCCGCTTGTTGATGTACAAACCCTGTTATCCTTAATTTTCAATGAAATGCAATTCCCCTTTTCCATCATTCTTGATAGTTTTATTTTTTGTTTGCTTTTCTTCTCTGTACAGTTCTTTTTATGCTGGTTTCACTGACATGACATGCATGAGGAATCTTCGGCCCAATCTTAAAAGTCAATCTAATTCTGAAATAATAATTCAAGAAATAGAGTGCGATAATGAATCGGAATATGATGAGGATGAGGCCTTTGAAGAGATTAGTAAGGAACTAAATCATTTTGAAGAAAAACCCAAGCCTAACCTGAATGATACTGAAGCAATCAATTTGGGGGACCCAGATAATGTCAGAGAAACTAAGATAAGTGTCCATCTCGAACCGCAAATCAGGGAAGAAATAATTAAAGCATTGTTGGAATATAAGGATATTTTGTTGCATGGTCGTATGATGACATGCCAGGTTTGAGCACCGATTTGGTGGTCCATAAATTGCAAACTGATCCAGTATTCCCTCCCGTCAAGCAGAAGTTGAGAAAGTTCAAAACTGACATGAGTGTAAAGATTAAAGAAGAAGTCACAAAGCAGCTTGATGCAAAAGTCATTCGAGTCACGCGGTATCCCACGTGGTTAGCCAATGTTGTGCCTGTGCCGAAGAAAGATGGTAAGACCAGAGTGTGTGTTGATTATCGTGACCTCAACAAAGCAAGTCCAAAGGACAATTTCCCACTACCAAATATCCACATTTTGATTGATAATTGTGCCAGGCATGAGATTGGATCTTTGGTAGATTGCTATGCGGGGTATCATCAGATTTTAATGGATGAGGAAGATGCGGAAAAGACTGCATTCATCACACCATGGGGAACTTATTGTTACCGGGTCATGCCATTTGATTTGAAAAACGCTGGGGCAACTTACATGAGGGCGATGACCACCATATTCCATGACATGATACACAAGGAGATTGAGGTTTACGTGGATGATGTTATCATAAAGTCCAGGAAGCAGTCTGACCACGTCAAAGACTTGAGAAAGTTTTTCCGAAGGCTCCGTAGGTACAATCTTAAGCTCAACCCTACAAAATGCGCATTTCGTGTTCCATCTAGGAAACTGTTGGGATTTATAGTCAGTCGTCGAGGCATTGAGTTGGACCCATAGATCAAAGCTATTCAAGAATTGCCACCTCCAAGGAACAAGCTGAGGTGATGTGTTTGCTCGGGCGATTAAACTACATCAGCAGGTTTATTGCTCAACTCACGACAACTTGTGAGCCCATCTTTAAGTTGCTGAAGAAGGATGTTGCGGTCAAATGGACTGATGAGTGCCAGGAAGCATTTGATAAGATCAAAGAGTATTTGTCAAACCCACCTGTGTTGGTCCTGCCGGAACCCGGGAGGCCTTTAATTCTTTATTTGACAGTCTTGGACAATTCGTTTGGCTGTGTATTGGGTCAACATGACATCACTGGCAGGAAGGAGCAAGCCATCTATTATCTCAGCAAGAAGTTCACATCTTATGAGTTAAGTACACTCATCTTGAAAGGACATGTTGCGCCCTAACTTGGGTGGCACAAAAGTTTAAGCATTATTTGTCGTCTTACACTACTTACCTCATTTCTCGCCTGGATCCTCTAAAGTATATCTTTCAGAAGCCTATGCCCACAGGAAGACTTGCGAAGTGGCAGATTCTGCTCACAAAGTTTGACATCATCTATGTGACTCGGACCGTGATGAAAGCCCAAGCATTGGCCGATCATTTGGCCGAGAACCCGATTAATGAAGAATATGAACCATTGAGAACATATTTTCCCGATGAGGAGGTGATGCATATTGATGAGGTGGAGCAGGTTGAAAAACTAGGTTGGAAACTTTTCTTTGACGGAGCTGCTAACATGAAAGGTTCGGGATAGGGGCCGTGCTTATTTCTGAAACAGGGCATCACTACCCTGTTACGGCTCAACTTTGTTTCTATTGTACCAATAACATGGATGAGTACGAGGCACGCATTTTTGGTTTGGGGTTAGCTGTAGGCATGGGTGTCCAGGAAGTCTTGGTCTTGGAAGACTCGGACCTTCTGGTGCACCAGATTCAAGGTGAATTGGAAACACGGGATTTAAAGCTCATACCGTATCGACAATGTTTGCATGATCTTTGTCAACGGCGATCAGTAAAGTTCAGGCATATTACAAGGATCCATAATGAGGTTGCCGATGCTTTGGCTACCTTAGCGTCAATGTTGCACCATCCGAACAAAGCTTATGTCGACCCTCTGCATATTCAAGTTCGTGATCAGCATGCCTATTGTAATTTGGTTGAGGAAGAACTTGACGGTGAACCGTGGTTCCATGGCATAAGGAGTACATCAGAATGAGGTTATATCCGATACAAACAATAGGTGATCAATAGAGAACAATTCGACGTTTGGCTAGTGGATTTTTCTTGAGCGGAGGGATTTGTACAAGAGAACTCCAGATCTCGGGCTGTTGAGGTGCATCGATGCTAAGCAAGCCATGACTAATATGACCGAGGTACATTCCGGAGTTTGCGTATGAGCGGGTATGTTCTAGCAAAGAAGATTCTCCGAGCAGGTTATTATTGGCTCACCATGGTGCGAGATTGCATCAATTTTGTGCGCAAGTGTCATCAATGCCAAGTACACGGAGATTTGATTCATTCTCCGCCATCTGAATTGCACACAATGTCCGCACCATGGCCCTTTGTTGCTTAACGTATGGATGTCATCGGAACAATCGAGCTAGCAGCATCCAATGGGCACAGGTTCATTTTGGTGGCCATTGACTATTTCACTAAGTGGGTTGAAGCTAAAACTTTCAAGTTTGTGACCAAGAAAGCAGTGGTCGATTTTGTTCAGTCAAATATCATTTGTCGATTCGGAAAAAAAATCCCTAAGGTGATCATCACAAATAATGGTGCTAATCTTAACAGTCATCTGATAAAAGAGGTATGTCAACAGTTTAAGATTACGCATCGCAATTCTACCCCATACCGCCCCAAGGCTAATGGAGCAGTCGAGGCAGCCAACAAAAACATAAAGAAGATACTTCGGAAAATGGTGCAAGGTTCCAGGCAATGGCATGAAAAGTTGCCCTTTGCATTGTTGGGTTATCGCACTACTGTTTGCACTTTAGTAGGTGCAACTCCTTATTTGTTGGTATATGGCACTGAAGCAGTGATACCCGCGGAAGTTGAAATCACATCCCTTCGGATTGTTGCTGAAGCCGAAATTGATGATGATGAGTGGGTCAAAACCCGTCTAGAGCAATTGAGTTTGATTGATGAGAAAAGATTGGCAGCAGTGTGTCATGGCCAGTTGTATCAAAAGAGAATGGCAAGAGCATACAACAAGAAGGTGTGTCCCCGGAAATTTGAAGTGGGCCAGCAAGTATTGAAACGCATCCTTCCACATCAGACTGAAGAAAAAGGCAAGTTCGCCCAAAATTGGCAGGGGCCTTTCATCATAATGAGAGTGTTGTCCAATGGTGTTTTGTATTTAACAGATATAGAAGGCAAATGTGTAGATATGGCTATCAATTCTGATGCAATCAAAAGATATTATGTATGATTTCTTTGGTTTAAATTGTGTTTGTTTGTACTTGGCATGTTTTGAAGATTGGAATGACGAAGGCATTTTATTCTGCTATCTAAACACTTTACCCTTTGTTACCCCTTTGAGCCTTTTATTTTCTTTCATACCCCTCTTTTGAAATCAGTAGAAAAGTTTAGAAACACGGATACAAAAGGTAAATAAAGAAGGAAAAGAGGAAAAGATAAGAGAAAGAAAAGAATGAAGAAGAATGAAAAAAAAGAAAAAAAAGAAAAAAAAAGAGAGAGAAAGAAAGAGAAAAGAGAATAATAACAACAACAAAGCAATTCCTATGACATGAACTACGTTCGACCTGATTCCTTTTAAGGATATGTAGGCAGCCTCACGGTTCGGTCCCATCAAAGTAAAAATTCAAAAGTCCCCAAGCAAAGAAACTGGGACAGAAGTTGTGTTTGTTGTTAGAGATCTAATTCCAAAAGTTGTATTTTTGAACCCATTCAAGCTGTTTTGAGCCTTTGTGATATCTTTTCTTTCTAACCCTATCCAAAAGTCCACATTACAGTCCAAAGAAAGACCTTCCGATCAATATTCGAGAGATGCCAAGACGAGCAAGTAGAGGTGCGATTCATATCAGGGGCAACACTCCGGTCTGAGCAGGAAAAATGAAAAATGAGAGAATTTTATTGGTGAAAACCCTCACGGGCACCGTGAGGTGACGGAAAGCTGAGAGAAATAAAAATGAGATATTCTTATTGGTGAAAACCTTCACGGGCACCGTAAGGCGACGACAATTGAGAAATGAATAAATGAGAGAGGTTTGTTGGTGAAAACCCTTCAGGGCACTGCAAGCCGAACAAGGGCATGGCTTGGCGAGGAGATTGGGTTATGGAAATCCCGGGGCATAATGTATTATAACTGAATGTTGATTGGTTGAATAGGCTGGGCTGATTAATCCGAAATGCATGTCATGATCATTGGTACCAGCTGCTCTACTCAGATAAGTCTCTCTTCCTTTTCTCCCTCAAACAGTCAACCAGTTTTGGATTTTCTTCTTTATTCCTAACTCTTGAAGTCATTGCATTTCATTTCTTTTGGGTTTATTTCTCTAAGGCTTTTCCAATGTCAGCCTTGTTTAAGCAAGTAAGGAAGGATTTCAAAGCTTACTACCAACTTCCAAATTGCACAAAGCAAAGTGCGGCCAAGACATACCAGAGATAGCATGAAGTAAAGTGGGAAATAAGGTGTCAGTGAAAGTTCCATTGGTCGAATGGTTTAGTAATCTTGTGGGAGGTACAGAGGTTCAGGTAGAAGGGTTAGAAATGTAAAGCAACGGTTTGGGTGTAGAGAACTCGGGTTATCCAGGGTCCTGCGGTTGAGAGTCAGTCAGAAAGTCAAATAATTCTTGGCCAGTTCAAGGCAGCCAGCCAAAGCAAAGCACGGTAGCAAAATGGCTACCTCCAGCAAGAATGCCGCAAGCTAACCACCACATTTTTAAACTTATAATTTTTTCTTTGATTAATACAGGGGCAGGAAATTTCATAATTCCGAGGAATCCTCCGTGGGGAAAGCATGTACTAGGCAGGTTCGACCGTAAATTCTCAGAGCCCACCTGGATAATGGGATTTAATTTGAAGTTCTCAGGACCCTTTTGGACAATGGGACCTAGTTAAAATTCAAAACATTCATGAGTAAAAAGTTCTAGCATAAGCTCTACTTTGGGGAAGTATAAGTTGGTTTTGCAGTTTTCATTCTTAGGATGAGGTTCAATTGGAAATCTTCAAGACCCTCCTGGATAATGGGATCTAGTTTCAAGGCCTTCATAGATAATGAGATTTTAGCATAAGTTTCACCTTTAGGAAGTCGGACTTAGCTCTGAAGTTTTCACCTTTAAGATGAGATTTGATTTTAATTTTGAGGACCCTCCTGGATAATGGGGCCTAGCTTTTAAACTCTTAGAGATATTGGGTAACATGATTCGATTAATACTTACAGATGTCCCCAGCTACCAATGGGGCAGAAAAGTTTCTTTTGTTTTGTCTGTTTTGTTGGTAATCAGGCACCCACCTGGAGAACAAAGGGAAAGTAGCAATGTTCAACGGAGGTCAGCAATGAGGAGCCCACCTGGAAAATAAAGGGAGAACAAGTCAAGTCTCAAGGAAAAATAGTGCAAATGTTGGTAATCAGGCACCCACCTGGAGAACAAAGGTAAAGCAGTAATGTTCAAAGGAAGACAGCAATCAGGAGCCCACCTGGAGAACAAAGGAAAAACAAATCAAGTTCCGAGGAAAAGCAACTACAGTTTTGGCGATCAGGCGCCCACCTAGAAAGCAAGGGAATACGGTTAAAGTTTTGGTAATCAGGCGTCCACATGGAGAACAAGGGGAAGCAGTCAAGTTTTGAGGAAACGCACTGCAAGTGTTGGAAATCAGGCGCCCACCTGGAAAACAAAGGGCAAACAATTCAAGTTTCAGAGGAAAGGAAGACAATTCAAATGTTGGTAATCAGGTGCCCACTTGGAGAACACAGGGATAGCAGTAATGTTCAAAGGAATGCAGTTAAAGTTTTGGTAATCAGGCGCCCACCTGGAGAGCAAGGGAATATAGTTCAAGTTTTGGCAATCAGGCGCCCACCAGGAGAGCAAGGGAATACAGTTAGAGTTTTGGCAATCAGGCGCCCACCTGGAGAGCAAGGGAATGCAGTTAAAGTTTTTGGCAATCAGGCGCCCACCTGGAGAGCAAGGGAATATAGTTCAGAAGTTGTAATCAAGCGCCCACCTGGAAAGCAAGGGAATACAGTTAGAGTTTTGGCAATCAGGCGCCCACCTGGAGAGCAAGGGAATGCAGTTAAAGTTTTGGCAATCAAGCGCCCACCTGGAGAGCAAGGGAATACAGTTAGAGTTTTGGCAGTCAGGCGCCCACCTGGAGAGCAAGGGAAAACAATTAGAGTTTTAGCAATCAGGCGCCCACCTAGAGAGCAAGGGAATACGGTTCAAGTTTTAGAAATCAGGCGCCCACCTGGAGAGCAAGGGAATACAGTTAGAGTTTTGGCCATCAGGCGCCCACCTAGAGAGCAAGGGAATGCAGTTAAAGTTTTGGCAATCAGGTGCCCACCTGGAGAGCAAGGGAATGCAGTTAGAGTTTTGGCAATCAGGCGCCCACCTGGAGAGCAAGGGAATACTATTAGAGTTTTGGCAATCAGGCGCCCACCTGGAGAGCAAGGGAATACAGTTAGAGTTTTGGCAATCAGGCGCCCACCTGGAGAGCAAGGGAATACAGTTAAAGTTTTGGCAATCAGGCGCCCACCTGGAAAGCAAGGGAATACAATTAGAGTTTTGGCGATCAAGCGCCCACCTGGAGAGCAAGGGAATACAATCGAAGTTTTGGCAATCAGGCACCCACCTGAGAGCAAGGGAATACGGTTGAAGTTTTGGCAATCAGTTCAAGTGCCGGCAATCAGGCGCCCGCTTGGAGAACACGGGAATACAGTTGAAGTGTTGGCAATCAGGTGCCTACCTGGAGAATAAGGGAATTTACTTCAGAATGCAATTCAAGGCAGCAACAAAGGAATCTCACCTGGAGAGTACAAGTCAACAAAGCGGCAGAAATTGCAAGATCAAGTTTGAAGATTGTAGACAAGATTCTCTTAATTCGTAGATCATAGTTTAGTCTAGCTTCTTTTATTTTGTCTTGGTGTAATAAGGAGTTCAGCAAGTAGTAGCAGCAGCAACAATAGTGAAATCACAGCTTCTTGGTAGTCCCAGCTATCGAAACTTCCAGAACTACACTGACTTGATTCCTTTATAGCCA